AAATCTATTTACCGAAACATCTTAATTGAAGAGGAAGTAGGTACTACTACTAAATGATTAAGAAACTGCGCATGAATTGAAAGCCTGCTTCTTTGATAAATGATAATCGTAATGATAAATGATGGTCGGAGGAGCCACATATATAATGTATGGTAACTTTTTAATTTTAACATTACCGAGCTCAGATTTTGCCTACTAACTACTCTCAAATACTACAAAATCATACTAAATTTGATAAATATACATCCATTATGTTCCTAGTTCTCCTCAATCCAAACATTTAAATTGAGAAGCCACCTCTATGTTCATATAACTTTCACACACACCATCACATCAACAGCCTATAATAGTCCACTGCTGGACATAGGCCTCTCCTTAGAAAGGAGGTTTTAACTTTAAAAGTATTATACTACAAAATCGAGGATCAAGGCTACAAACACAGTCGCCGTGGCAATCGAGTTGATGTGAAATAATCTCACACCAGGCCCTTTGAAATTAATTACGAGTTCTTATACTTACCGTGGATATTCGTTATTGATGGTTGTAAAAATAGATCATGTGAGGTCAAATAAAACGCAAATGTAAAATATAATAGTTGTATTTTTGCACTTTTTGCAATTAACTATATACCACGTTATGAGGTTTACACGATAGGAATGCAAGGATCACATTAGGTTAGGCATAAGTCTACAACATCAATAGTACATTATATGCATAAAATATTTATAATAGACACGTGTGACTTAGGCCTAACTGTTAAGATTCGAAGATACTTGAAGACATTTAGTGCAAGATATTCTACATTGACTTAATTTGGCTGCTTTGAGGATAACATTTGTAAATTTAATAAGAAGGTGCAATATTGCTCTTAACTTCTTAAAAAAAAAATAGACATACTATGATGGAAAGAAAATAAGTTTTTTTTTGGTTTAAAATTAATTTCAATTGTATATATTTGATAATCAAGAGTCTTCCTCATTCATACTACTTTATGTAAACCTGATGAGAAACAAAGTCTTCTTCTGGTTTGCATTGAGATAAAAAAATCAAAAGAACATTTGAAATAGCTAAAAACATAAAATTCTATATTATCTATTTATTCATCAACATAATATGCATATATAGATATGTTTATTGCAAACCCCGTAGCCTTTTGTATATATATCAGATGTTATTGAAATTAAAACTGATTAATTAAACACATAATATTATGCTTACAAAGTTCAATGACTTAACTATGTTAAAGTACAGCCGTCTGTAACACGTACAAACATTGACAATTATTGGTTTCATTTAAAAAACATTTTGTAAATATTAGTATTTCACCGTTGAAATGTATTCCAAGTTCGTTCACAACTATCTAGTTCAAAAATGTGCTACTATATACGGTTTTTGATGGCTTTCTCAATAGTAAATAAATATAAAATGTTGACTACTTTTGTTAAAAGTATAAATCAAATGAATCCATTCTTTATAATAAAACACATTATCGAGTTACATAAAATAAGTTACATATAATAATTTTTACTATAATACTGTAAGAAAACCTTACTTCAAAATGCTTTTTAAATCTCTAATAGACATTGATATTTGAAATCGGCTTATTGTTTATCATACATCAGCATTTATTGAACTAAAAAAATAATATTACCTAAGTAATCATTAATAATTGCAGTATTATCAAATTATTGTTTTTGATATAAGTAATAATCATAAACATTTATTTAGAAATATAAGGTTTGTTGTCGCAAAAATGGAATGTGAATAAATGATTTATTTATGTGCTTGCAGTCACTTATTTAACCTAAAAAATAATGACTCTATATCACTATATTAGATTTTACGTGTTGCAACACTTGATTTTTTTGTGCTTTTGTTCAAAGCAATTTTCGTTCTCATAAACAGTCTATGCGTATATTTTAGGTTCTTATAAACCAGCTATCTCTTATAAAGATAAGTAACTTTTAAAAGAATAGAATAAAATGAAAATTGTCGCCTCTACTAAACCTTGAATTCGAGAGATAAGGATGGATTTCAACAATGGTACAGTTGCAATCATAATTATTATTATTATAGAACCCAGCACCGCCTAACCAAAAAGTTCCTTTCAACGTTTTTGTAAAATCATTGCCGCTTAACAACTCTCGCAACCATACGTTATCATCAAAATAAACCAAGCTGACATGCCTGGCTTTAAAAAAAGTCACTTAAAAAATAATGTTAATACAATATTAATACTTTTTAATTAAAATGACAACCCGATTCACAACAAAAATGTTAAATAAGAAAAAACATAATTCAATGTAATGATATAATAAAAATTAACACAAAAAATAGATCAATTAAAAATGAGAATATTTAACAAAATCTCTTTAATAAGCCTAATAAGTGAAGCTTAAATATTTACGATCAGTTTTATACTTTTGAAATCAATACCAACACAAAATTATTCTTTTTACGATTTAAGTTTTGTCATCCATTATAATAATATTTGGTTTACAGCATTTTTATTTCAGTAAATACCACTGGCTCGATTGGGGGATATTGAAACCGCACACTTACTTTAACATGCTAAAGTTGTGTAGGTCTCGATGAAGTGATTTATAAGATATAATTATATCTAGTGATATAATTATATCTTATAAATCACTTCATCAGCTTCATTCAGTTAATATGTGTGATAGTTCACACATATTAACTCTGAATATATAAATAACACCACTTAAAACCACGGTGATATAATAACAAGGCTCTTTGTTTAGTCAAATAACAGAGGAATAAGTGTGATAAGGACTTCCTATTCATATTATACAAGTTATTGTTCATGGACATGGATTTCTTAATATGCCATTATAGCCTTTTTAACTTTATATTTATACATTTACTTACTGGTACCTATATCTTATAAAAAAAAAAAAACAAAAAAAAACCTGTATTAAAAAAAAATGCGTCGAAAAAGGAAATAAGATTTAACTTCAATCGATTGAATTAAATCACTGAGTCGATTGATTTAACATACTTAAATCAATCAATTTTAATATTACGTAGTATACTGATTTCCTACTTCTACGATGTTGTGATACTATTTTAGATCAGCATTGATTTCAATTGTACACAAAACAGTCCAGAGTACATGCCATAGTCGTTTATAACATATCTATCAGATCCTTATATATTAAATGTGTACAATATTTATATAGATAAAATACTGTATCTTATTTACATTTATAGAATATATATTTAAGGACAGAAGATTTCGAATAAGAATTCGGAATTCTTTAGGGTTATTTGTGATAGATAGGTGTGTTTATCTATTTTGACGATATAATTTGATTAGTTTATTATTCGAAGGAGTAATATAAAAATACATAAGATCGATATTTTTTGTTTGTAAGTGTTAAGAAATATTTTTTGTGTTTATGCACATTTTTTTCTAGTCGAACTGCACGATATTTTCCATACGCTTTCTAAGAACTGAATATGTATGTTTAGTCTTTATAATATTATATGTCTTGTATAAATATGGCTTTTATAATTACGATATATATATCAAGTCTTTCATACTGATTTTGACTAGGATTATAGATTCATGCCAGTAAAATATAATTCTTTATACTAAAATCGAATACATTCAGATCTTATACAATACAGTTTCTAAAGGAAAATAATTTGTGGTATAAAATATTTAAATATTAATATACATATATGTATGTAAATTTATAAGTCATCTTTGATAACGTGTTAAACAATTTGCTTAGAAATAATTAAAGTAAGTACAGTTTTATAAAAAACAGATCAATATATTTATAAAGTCTTAATAATGGAATGTTATTTTCTGATGTCAGTGCTCACTGTATAAGTAAAAAGTAAAATGTATATACTTCAAGTATTTCACTCAATCATTCAATAAATAAATATTCCTTACATAATATATAAGATAAATTGAATACTCACCTGTGTATTCGGGGACGCCCCGACTAGTTTCGAACCCAACGGGTCGTATTTCAACAAGAGGTAAAGCGAGTTTCTACGTCGATATTAGGCGTCGTATTCACATTGCCGAAATACGCATGTGAGTATAACCGTTTTATAATTATGATTAACACATTGAATACTTGTTGATTTCAATAATTATTATAACATTTAAATAATTAGAAATAATTCTTATTTTATATTCGACGTAGTAAATTCTTCTGATTATGCATTTGATTTATTTAATATATTTAGAATTCTTGCAACTTAAGAATACAATTTCTGTCATCGTTGTGGCGAGTGTACCCAATCAAATATCACACACACATCAAAATATGTTAATATTGTATTTTTTTATGCTATTGGAGACAAACGTGCAGGCGGGTCGCCTTATGAATTGTGAGTATTGACGTCAAATGAGACATGTGGTTTAGACGTCACAAGTGAGTTTACTTTAAGAGAGTCTCTTCTTGAAGGCTTGAAAAGGCCGTATACCGACATACCTCAAGCGGCATTGTGTTCCACAGGTTGGTTGGACAGAGGTAAAAAGCGATTGAAACTGCACTGTGGTAGATTATGATGATCGAAAATCTTCTCATCTCAATCAATCTTGTCATGAGAATTTGAGCACACTTTATTTCAGGTATTAGCTGGAATTTTTTACTTAGATATGTGAAAATAATAAATGTTATATACTAAATATATACTTATAAGTGTGAGCCAACGATGTCCCAAGATGTTTAAACATTATCATTTGTATTTTTAAATTGCAAGAGTTATTTTTTATGTTATATTTAGGTACATTGGAGTAATACCGCGACAGGGGGAGTTGAGTCGAAACGATTTTCTTAATATAATATTGGTATGTTTTTACCAATTTACCTCACGCACATATTTAACGTAGAGTAACAATTTTACCAAATAATTACTCCAATGTACTCTTTTAAAATAAAATAAAAAAAGTATAATTGTATAAACACTGAATTAAGAATCAAATCAGATCTTTTGTTTTATCTTTTCTGTCTTATCTATAGTGAGCTGACAGGGATATTGTTCAAGTTCTCACGAGCTCTGGTCCAATAGTAATACGGAGGCCCCGCAGAGAAACAGTATTTCTTCTCCAAGGGAGTGTCATTCTCCACCCAGTACATTAAGTAGAAGTTGCACATTTCATCCTTGTTGGTGGCGCTGAAATTGAGGAAACCAGACGATAATAACGAATAATTTAACGAATACGAATAATTAGTTTTAATTGCAAATTTGTTATGTAAGTCTAGCAGATACCTTTAATTTGAAAAGATATCGTAAGGTGCGTACCAATTAATTCCTAAAAGTGAATGTAGAATCTCGTTGTAATCTATGAGAAATTTGAACCTCACATGCGAGTGCTTTAACTTTTAACCTTGTTAGCGTAAGGAGTTAAACAGTATATTACTTATTTGTTGGATCTATCTTCTAAACTGATGTAGTTTCTTTTACTAAACCTTTAAACGCACACCAGGTGATACCAAAGTTATTCAAAGTTTGTTTGTTAAAACATTATACAAAATGTACCTATATGTAAAAGATTTATAAATATAAATATAACGGCTTCATAGATCAATTAAAAGCGCGTATAGTATAAAATTGTCAACATGTGATTACTAATGAATCATAAACAGTCAAAAGTAATCCGAAAACTAAAATTTGCTTTTAAATGTTTAGAATAATGCTATTGGACTTTAATAATTTATTTATCTCTTTAATGTACACCATTGCAGTATAATTTGTATGCTGTTATTATGCCGAGCATAATATGTCGGTATTTACATAAGTGAAATAATATTTTGGTTTAGCAGGTTTAGCGATCAACGTACCAGTAAAATGTTACGATTATTGATTCGGCAACGATGCCCACTTATTATGTCTTAAGTAGTACTAGAGTACATGCAACACTGTCGAAAATCAACATTTGAATTTTATTATATTCAAAACACGCGCAAAACGGCGCGCGGTAGTACTTGTTACATCACGTCCCTAAACTATAAGGAGAAGCTTATGTATGGTAGAAGCAAGGCTTACGTTTCTCTATCCTTGAACCTGCAACTCTTTGAATAACATTTTATAAGTCGAGAATTCGTATAATAGTTTTTAGTTCTGATAATAATTTAAAAAAACTTTTATTAAATTAAATAGTTAATCCTCTTAAATTCAATAGGATCCTGCGCAATATTTTGTCAGTACGAATCTCTCTATAAGTAGGTACAATCATAAAATAGTCTTCACATTCCTGCTATATTTTTGAGAGAAACATCCAACGGTAGCCCATATACACGCAGCTTTCTAGCCGTACAATGTTGGTACATACTAGTCATGTACTAACATTGTCTAAGATATTGCTCAGACGGACGGAGAGATACTTCCTTATTAAGACTACGACTACTTTTAAAAAGGGATTTTAGTAAACTAGTTTAACGACACCCAGACCTCTGATTTCAGACGTATCTACATGATCTTTTTAAACAATTAACTTATTTTAGTATTTCATAGTAACAATATACAACAAACAATTTAGCTAATAAATACCAAAAACACAAACTCTTTATTATTTCACTTATATCGTAACACATAAATAAGTTTTTTCGGTAGTGTCAACTTTCCTTTCGTAATCACTATTAATCAGAGGGAAAGCTATAGTGTCAATAATGTGTTATGGAATGAATTTAATGATTGTGTTTTAGAATACTTCTACCGAATCCATAATGATGTAGGTATATTATAATGATGTAATTAAATTGCAACTTCGTTGCGAAAAGTCATATTGTCACGGTAATAATAATAATAATAATAAAAAATTTATTCAAATCAATTGCAGCAGTTACAATAAATTGATCGGGCGACATTTAGTTAGTGATAGTCTTCACATTTAGCGACTGGTGCTTAAGAAAGGGAAACCCTGTGTTATAAGCACCAGTTTCCTTCCAGTTTATTAAGATATGCTATTTTTACTTCATCAAAGTGATTTACAATTTGCCCTGATGTTCTTACAGTTAGATTATATAATTTATAATATTAGAACAGTCTAGAATTTTAGAGTTTATGTTTGTAAATATGTGCGTGTGGTAGTGTATGTATGTGTATATGTGGGTGTGTTTATGTGTCCAGTGGATTTGTGTGATTACGTGTAGGTGAGTGTGTGTGTTTGAAGTTCACAAGTTTATTGAAGGGGATGTAGAAGAGCCTCTGTCTCGTCGTAAGAGATGTTTTGAAGATAGGATGTTACTATTTTCTTAAACTCATATTTAGTTTTGTTGTGAAAATCCAGATTTTTTTCAAGTTTGTTATATAAGTAGCGTCCAAGAAAGAAGTAGAATTTTTGACCAAAGGATGTTTTGCAACTTGTGGTTTGAGGAATCTTGAATCTACGCTTTGTGCGCATATGTGTGGATGAGTTTGTGATTGCTTCTGTATTGGAGGACGTATGTTGTCTTAGTAGTATTTGGAGTATAAAAATTTGGCGCACCGTTAGGACTTCACAATATTCGTAGAGGCATTTGGTAGGGAACTGGTAGGGCATAAACGTGCAGACCTTCAGAACAGCTCTCTGGGCTCGCTCGAGATGAAGCAAATGATTCTTTGCTACTCCACCCCAACTTGAAATACAGTATCCTATAATGGATTTACATAGCGCATGATAAACCATTTTTATTATATTAGGGTCAGCAGCATGTCTCAAGTGTTTAAATACGTAAATCAATTTACGAACTCTACTACACAGTTTGTCGACATGCGGATGGAATGAAAAATGGTCATCAAGTATGACACCCAAGTAGCGAGTTGTGGAAGTTTGGGTAAGCTTGGGGCAGTCGCAATCACTATTACACTTATTATTTTTGTGGACAGTAATGTTAAGCGGGTCTGAATTCACAGAGGAGTTCTTGATTTTAAAGGTCATAAGAAAAGTTTTACTAATATTTAGGGTAAGTTTATTCTGTGATAGCCACTGTGTAAGTTTATTAAATCCTAGTTGAGCTGCATGAAAGGTTTCACTCCAAGATGGACTTTTAAATATCAATGCGGTATCGTCCGCAAAAGCTACAATTTTACCTCTTTCCAACACTAAGTCGCACATATCACTTACATACACCAAAAATAGCGTAGGGCCAAGAATACTACCTTGCGGAACACCGTATACGATGGGAAGTTCAGCGCTTTTGCAATCGCCCACTTTCGTACATTGGGTTCGATTGCTTAAGTAGCTCTGAAACAGTTTTAACTGGTTTCCTCGAATGCCCATTTTTTCAAGCTTCTTGCACAGTCTAGGCAGGGGAACAGTGTCAAATGCCTTCGACAAGTCAAGAAAAATAGCTAGAGGTTTTTCTCTCTTATCTAGAGCTTCAGCTATTTCATTTGTAAGATCATGAACGGCATCATCTGTAGATCTGGCATTACGGAAACCATACTGTCTGTCTGATAAGAGATTATTTGACTCGAGGTAACCTTTAAGTCTGTTGTTCATAATACGTTCCAGTATTTTTGATAAAGCTGGCAGCACCGATATTGGCCTATAGTTATGGACATCGTACTTGTTACCTGATTTGAATATGGGATGTACAAGAGCTTTCTTAAATAGGTCGGGAAACACTCCTGTATTTATACACAGGTTTAATATGTACGTTAAAGGTCGAACAAGCGTAGATCTAAACTGTTTCAATATATAAGACGGAATCCCATCAACGCCAACTGCGCAGTCCGTTCGTAAACTCATCATCACATGCTCTACTTCAATTTCATCAGTTTCAAGAAAAACAAATGAGTTGGGCGTGGAGAAGTTCATATTACACTCGCGAATAGTGTCATTTGGATTTATTACATTTTCTGCTAATTGTTTACCTACATTTACAAAATATTCATTAACCAAGTTAACCGAGGTGACCGGACAGTGACTAGTTGATAGTAATTCTTTAGCGATACTAGTTTCTTGAGAGGTGTATGTTATGCTTTTAATAGCATCCCAAAGTTTTTTAGAATTACTATTAGCTTTCGTTAGTAAGTCTCTTTCAAATCGTCGTTTCGCGTTCTTAAGCAAATTGTTGCAGAAATTTCGGTACCTCCTAAATGTTACCTTTATTATCTCGTTGTTGGGGAATTTTTTAAGCTTTTTGTACATACGGTCTCGGTTTCTCATACACCTTAGCAACCCAGGGGTAATCCAAGGCTTTCGGATTCTCAACCGAGATGGTATACCGAATAACTATGCTTTAAACATCTTACAAACCCTCATCCCTGTATTTTTAAAAGAGTAGGCAGCAAGACCGAACTACGAATTACGTAGGATCCGGTTCCTTATTATTATTTCCTCACACACAAAAAAAATCTCGAAATCGTTCTAGCTGTTTAGGAGGAGTGCAGTCACATACACACACACACACACACACACACACACAGAAGAATTATATATAATATATAAAGATATAGATATTTATAAATTAACTTTCGAATGTAGGTAAAAGTGCATAATTGCAGAGCGCATCATCTTTTTACCTAAAAATTTGTTGTTTGTAATTATCAAGAGAAGGTTTGTATGGAACAAGTTGTTTATTTTATAAATGTGGGTGTATGGGTGTGTAGAAGTGAGTGCAAGTTTGTAGTAAGTGAAACAGAACAAAGTAGCACGGTCTCCAAAAATATTATCAAAATTAGCAGATTGATGTTCCCTTGCTCCGTTTCTTACATTGTTTTATCTGATACATAAAAAAAAAAAGATTTTTGTATATAATTATGTCTTGTGCGTATGGGTATACAATTATATACCAAATGCAATTTATCACGTAACAGGTATTAAATGCTTAATATTACGAAAACTGGTCATAGGGCAAAAGTTAGTAAGTATTTCGTGGTCTATGACTTACATAATTAATAATTATTTATCATGAAAGGTTATGTGAAACCGTAGCAAACCTAAGCAGGCAGCTATGGTCCATTCGCGTTAAGAAAATAATGACGCATCAATCAAGCCCCGCCCCCTGACCAAACAGGTTTCAAGAAGGTCTCGTTTCGTACGAAAACTTGGAACCCGATTCTTATTTTCTTAACGCGATCTTTTCATTCCGTCATGATTTTTTTAACGCGAATAGACTATAGTAAGCAAATAAAAGAAACATACCCGATCCTAACTGGATAATCATTGGTATTGTTCATAATGCATCTAGCAGCTAGAACATCATCTCTTCGTATTGGTTTAGTGTCGAGCACGGGGTAAAACATTTGAGGTAGCTGAGGATTCTTCTTGCCCAATAGCGTCCAGACATCACCGCTTTGATCTTGGCGGACTACATAGCCAGTTACTAGTTTGCCTGTTAATTTTATACGAAAAAAAATTAAGTATGAGCCAATAGGGGTCATTCATAAATAATGTCACAGGAATTTTATGGTTTTTGACCCCCACTCAGTCCTTGTCACAGCTCGTCATATTTTTAAGGCCCTTATCCTTAGTGTACACTTCTTAAAAGCACTTTAGTGTAAAAGCGTCAGACCACATGCAGTTTTGAGTGCCGTAGTTTTTTACTGCCATCTTCAAACAAGAAATAACCCCTCTTTTCCAAGGATTTGTATTTTATACAAAAAAATTTCGTTGCTTTTCACCGAGTGAAGTTACCCTAGCACCAACCCCAGAGGGGGGACTCACTCACTCACTCACTCACTGTTACAACTTAATTCTTTCTAATAGATAGATTTTTGTCAAAAAGAGCAAATGGTATTCAAAAATTAAATCGAAATTATTATCGATTGCGCGGCCATAACTTTTCAGGTGAATATTTCGTAAGATATTGCTCTGTAGCTGGTAGCAAATTTAGTCTTCGATTCACAAAAAGAATTAGATCTCTAGCTTAAATAGTTGCTAAGACCTCCGTGGACGTGCAATATTCCACGTTTCTTATAACTTCTTTATTTCTACTTTGACAAATTTTTGGTTGGTTCCCTTCGATTTAGTATTTTAATAGTTTATCCTACAGAAGGACATTCAAGTGTAACTAAAATAAGCACTTTATTTTGTAGAGCCGATCCCCTAAAACTTTTTTCAAAATTATGTTAAGTGCTCAACTTCGTAGGCGTTATTAGTGAATCAACGCATATAAAATTTAGACTTTAGGACAGATAAATTTTATCAGAGCTATTTTATAACCACAAATTGCTAAAAAAATTACTTTGTGATTGAACCCAAATAGGTTTTTATGAGTAAAAAAACAGTTTTGCCAGAACTGCTTCGAAACAAAGTTCTGATGGTGTAAGTAAAAGGAGTGTATTCATATGCAGAATGCACACTAAAATAAAATACATAAATATTGTTTAACAAATTCGTACCTAGAGCGTGTGTATGTGTCCTAAAGGCAAAGGGATGAATGACTTTGTCCTCGTTGATGTCACACGCCGTCTCCATATGTTCGATTCTGCGCGGTGGTATCACTCCACTTGTGCCTAAAAGAATTACTCCAGCTTGGCGGGGCATGCTGGAAAAAGAAAACGAATATTTTGTTTGCATTATTTCTATTTTTTTGTGTTAACAAAGTGAATGGAAACTGCCCAAGATCGAGAAAGATGGCATAAAGTAAAGGAGTGGTTTGAAAATGGCTAGAAAGAAAGAGAGAGAGAGATATCTGTATTTGAAGGTTAGGATTTGACAGTTTTGTTTTATTATCACTCATCTATTGTCGCTTTCTTTATTCTATAAAAATTTCATGTATCTTCTTCAATTTCATTTAATATTTAATAAGCGTTTGTAAGTACTGACTAGACAACATGAAATCATTGTTTGAATTAGTAATAATCAATTGCCTTGTTATTGTTATTTCGAAAATGATAAAGAAAAAATATGTTAGAAAACAATTAAGATGCGAAATATTGTACATACGAAATAATAAAAAAATACTGTTTGAAATAACGCTTGATACTGTCAACTTTTCACTTTTTAGGAACTGATATTTTATGTAACCGTGAAATATACGAGCCCATTCAAGAAACGTATAGATTATATTAGATTAATTTCAATTAAGATTTCTTTTCAAATATTACATTGTATTTTATCAAATAAATAAGTTAGTTTCGAAGATGGAAAAAATAGGCAATCAATTTTATTATACAGATGGGTATTATTTGTTAATGTTGGTAAAAAATATCTATATCCATATCATATCCATATATTATATTCAATAAAAGATTTAAGAAATATCTACATAAAATAGATAAAGGCTTAACTTATTAGTCTGAACTACACTTACCGTGTCTTGGTGTACTTAAGGAAAACGCCGGAATCATCCGTCTTGTCCTCTGAAATAATTATTGATTTTTTATTTGCAAATTTGCATGATTTTGTACCAATTAGGGTCCTTAATTGGTTTTTATTACAAGTAATGTACAACAAGTTGCGGTTTAGCAATGATAGCTACTGTAAACGTTTTATATGTTTATTATTATTAAGTTTGTTGGGTGTCAGGACATCAGGACAACAGCACGGCAAAGAGAAGGAAAACTTGAAACAAACCCTATACCAACCCTTCTGGCTAGCTTGGTATAGTAAGCTAACCTTTCTAAGGAGAGGCCTATGTCCAGCAGTAGACTGTTAAAGGCTACTGATGATTATTGAGTTTAGGTTTCGACAAGATCACCGCCTATTACATATACAGAATGCCCCTGAAAACGAAGACAGACCATGATACTTGATTGATGATGGATCAGAGAAAATCTCAATATCAATGAAAAAATTAATCGTCTTTTTACAACGCTCTATTCATTATATTGTCTCAAAGTTATTATTTACGCCATATAAGGCTCGCGATCTGCGTTTTTGAAAACAAAAAAAAAACATTTTACACGTCGAAGAAAGTCGTCTATAAGAAAAGCGGGTCTTTTATAAACAATGTTATACAGGGTTAATGGGTTGGTCGACCTAGATATACTTTAAGGGGTTGTAGTTGCAATCATTTCTCAAAGACTTCACTATAAAAGACCATATCCCAAACCTTACCCTTTTTAAGATATTGGACTTTTAAGATTTTTTAAGAAATCGCCGAAAATTTGTCTAATACATTTTTTTTAGAACTTAAATCCTTAATTTTATTGTTTTTGTGTAGTTGATACATTGTTTTATAATTTTCATCACTAAAATTGTAGTTAACAATCTGAGCCGAAGTCTATTGTTAATAATAGCAAAAAGAAAAAAAATGTTTATTGACGTATTTCAAAAAAAAAATCTAAGCTAAACTGCAGATTTGTTGAAAAACATGAACGTATTGTCAGAATAGAATGTCGTACGTATGTCACGAATAGAAAACGAAACAGTCCAAAAATACAAGCCAAGTTTTTAACTAGATACTAACGGATTGTAGGCTAATTCTTAATACTCCCGATCTTTCATTTAAGTTTTTCTCTATGTATATATTATACTGTTATTATACTGTTATTCGTCAAAGAAATTATTTTTTTACAAATTTATTTATTTTTGCTAATATTAACCATCCACTTCGGCCCAGTTTCTTAAGTTTCTTCAATTTTTGTAATGGTAATTATAAAATAATGTATCAACTACACAAAAATAGGAAAAAAGCATAAAATAAGTTAAAAATTGAATTAGGCAAATTTTAATCCTTAAAATACATACAATATCTTGAACACGGTTAGGTCTAGGATATGGTCTATCATAGTGTAATCTATCAGAAATGTTGGCTACTACAACCCCTTAAAGTATCTAGGTCGACTTACAAAGTAAACCTGTATAAAAAAGGACTACGTCATTAAACAAAACCCCGCGGCTGAATTTATTTGAGTTCCATTCATCCTGTTTAATAGTATCTGATTGAATTGTCAACAATAAAAACAATTACAAATACCTCTGCTATTTAATATCTTCTTAACATATTGACATTCTTATCTGGTGTTGCAAAAACAATACTGTTTATACTACCCCCATTGTTTATATCAACAGATTTCTTTTAGAATCGAATAACGTACGGAGATATCGAATAATCTAAATATTATAGTATCAAGAATTAACGTCAACATCATTTTTTTTACAAATACAATAGCACGTATATTTAAAGTATTTAAATGCAGTATTTTATTCAATGTAATTTATGTTAGGTACATGTTTTCGTGCCGGTTTTTCTTTAAAAAGAAGTAGGTATAAAGAATTTTATTTACGTATAATATACAAATAATTATAAAGCCGCTATAGCATTACGTCCGTGGATCAGTTAAAAACTCAATAAAATGTAAAGTTGAAGTGCATTTTAATACCACTTACTGCTTTAATAAAATTGTAGTAAATTTTGCGGTTGTTAAGATTTCAAATCAAATTAATACACATTTCAAAAAGGACCCTATAGGATGCCTAAGGTAAAGGAAGGTCATATACGAGAATACTGTTACACTGAGAGGCAATAAGGGCGTCTGAAAGCATTCGAATTATTAATTCAAATTTCAATTTATGGACGATTCGTTTAAAACAATACTAGGTTAACTGACAAATACTCGTATACTCGTATACAATGGTATGGTTAGAATTTGAATTGCCTTAGTTAACGTTGAATGAATGCTAAAAGTGCGCTAAGTACCCGCATGACGTGTTAACTATTGAGCATTTGGAAAAAGAAACTTGATACGGGCACACATATAATTGAGAATCGAATAGTCAGCAGCACAAAAAAGAAAGACTTGAGAAAAAATAGTTATATAAATCTATATATATTAATATGTGAAAAATTTGATTAATTTGATTTAATAACTTTGATTAATTGATTTTTTTTCCTTCGCTTGACACAGAGCAGTTCAGTTAGCCAAAATATGTTTAAAGTTTAAAGCATTTGTCAAGTCATGTTTTTTTTTAAGTTTATCATGAGTCATTTTGCTTCTTTCATATAATTTTTTAGAATAATTTAAAGTTCAAGTCAAAATAAATTGAAGATATCATAATTATTTTGAAATATTTCTTAAAACTGCATATTCTACTACAATCCTTAGCAAAGCAAGCAGTTAAGAAAAAGGACAGTAGGATACGAATCATTACGACATTTACCTGGAAAGCGGTGCATGTAATGTACTTGTAACACCAAGTACTTGATAGGGGAGTCTTTGCCTATGAGGAAACCAACGTCTTTGGGCAAATGAAGGCTTGGTGCGTCTCGAGCCCATGCGTACACTATCTGGAAGGCAAGGGTACTAATATTAATTGCTGTATTTAAATGCCACACAAAAAATTGTAATGATTCTTAACGACACACCTGTAATTGTAAACTAACATTATAAAGATAAAAAAACTTTTTATTTGGTTGGACGCGCTAATTCTGAAATCGCGGATTGAAAAATTATTTTAGTGTTAGATAGACCATTCAACGAGGAAGGCCATAGACTATATAACATGCTACAACTAATAGGAGTCTAGCAATATTTTTTTTTTTTTTTTTTTTTTTTTTTAGTTTTTAAAAATTTTATTGACGGAGAACACTTCGCCTGTACCTAATAAGAAGGTTGGATATTTTAGTATCGACCAAAAAAATCAATGTTTTTCAGCAGTAGCCATGTTAACAAAGTATATATATAAATTAAGCAATTTTAAACTTTGACGCGCTCTCCTGTAAAATAGCTGATTTGCAGATCCCATTCTTAATAAGGACGGGCGATTTATTCCTTTTGAGGGACGACGAAGTTGCGGGTCAGATTAATTATGTTTTTTTCTTTTTTAATTAATTTCTCAATTTCTGTTTTTTTATCTGTAAAATTATCATCATCATCATCATCAACAGCCTTTAATAGTAACAGCTGGACATAGGCCTCTCCTTAGAAAGGAGGTAAAAATTATAGTTGGTGTTAATTTGATTTCATTATTTGATGATATCACAATTATCATTTATACGTGACCTTTCAACATTGGACACGGTTATTCCCAGACTCATTAGGTAAATATGAGTATGTTTATTACCCATTTACAAGTTAATTCGGTATGGCGTAAGTGAGCTATATAAAAGAATAATAAAACATGTTACTAATTTAAAAAACACGACTACCCCACCTACTACGAGATTGTTTTAATCTGAATACAGCGGTAAACAGCCGTCATAATGATTTAAAAAATATATACAGCTAGAGTAACCCAAATGATCTCTTCTGGCATTTAAAAGTTATGAGGATTGGAGTAACTTATATACATGAATTTATGAAAATTGAAACTTTTTTTTTTGGCAGCCGTGTAATAAAATATATCTAGGACATGATATCATTTATCTGTTTTCTAGTATTTCTTTTAAGATATACCAAATGAGTGAACAGAGATTCACTCATTTAGTATATTTGAGAATCGTTTACACAATTGTAAACTGATATCGGAAAGATAAGGTCATCCATCCTATCTCTAGTAAATATATAGTGAGTACAATAACGACCCGGTTCTGTTTGTTGAATGAATTAAACCAGAACTGAGTTTGGCGTACCTAAACATACTATCACAGTAATGCAAATTGGTTAGTTTTTTGTAGGTAAAGTTACCCTATTGTTTTGTATATTATACGCGTGTGGTCAACATTACTTGCTATGGGTATAACAATTTATATAAAACAAACCTGAGACCCGGAGCGACATGGACTAGCAGTGTTGTATATGTCGTCGACTTCGTTACTCTGCATTTCACCGCAACTCCTGTTCATTGGAAAAATAATGTATTGGATGTGTCATGTTACTGACTAAATATGGGACTAATATGTCTCTTCGAGTTGAAGATATCTCATAAAATTAACCTGATACAATTACTTATATTTCTAATGTTAATAAACATGGGACCCAAGTCTCAATAAGCACAGTAATGAGTATTTCATTTTATATTTCTTTTAGTTGTAGATGATCCAAAAAAATATATAAATAAACACAGAGACAAAATTAGCAATGGCGTGTGTTGGATTATTTTTTCAAGGTTATGTAAGCGCGGTCTTAACTTGCATGATCGGAATTAAAAGAAGAATAAATTCAAAAATGTTTTTTTTAACAGGTTTGTATCTTATCAAATTGTAAGCAAAAAGCGAAGTGTAATGCAAATCCTTTAATTAACGACTTGTAAAATATTTTGATGACATCTATACTGTGTGAAATTTGACCCTACTTGATTTAACCTAACTTCCCCAACAGTAAAGAGTTCACCCTAACTTCGAAACAAATATTTGCGGATCATACAAACATTAGATCCGACCCGGGAATCGAGCCCAAGACCTCAGCCCAGCAGTCGCATACGCTATAACTGCACCACCGAGGCAGTTGCACTAGTTTTTTTTTATATACCTCTACTGTCATATTAATTTTTATATTACTTACCAGACGGATTCATTGGATCCAGGGTCAGTACATCCATAGAGCAGCATGTGATGAGCAGTGTGCATGGTGGCATTAGGTTCGAACCCCACTGAAAATTAATAACAGTTTAGTGATTTTATTAATTTATTTAGCTACATAATGTACATGTACTTATGTATGTAAATGTTCAATTATTTTTAGTCGTTTTACGATTATTGTTCTGCAGTGCAGTAGTTAGACTAATCCTAGACAATATAACAGTGGCTATATATCGTTCTGATTTAATATATGTATGTAAAAAAATATTTATCGCAATAAAATAACACTAACTTCCCTAGTAAGAATTGTTTTGCAATGTGATGAATAAATAAATAAAATATATGTAATATAGTGCAGAAAATAAGATATACCTGTTTAAGCACTATCTTACTTTCTTACAAGGAACATTTTATTGCTCCTGGATGGCGGAGAAGGGATCAGAGAAAACGCTTAAGACTTGCTTGTTATAATAAAGGGGTCGAGCTGGGGACGAAGGTCTAATAGTCGGGCTATTAAAAAGTTCTACACATCTTTGGTCAGGTAGGTAGTGGAATTAATTACAACAAGTAACATCGGAGATTATGTTAATTTCTTTCATATTGAAACTAAAATGTTGATATAATATCAATGATAATGTTCAGTGGCAACATAGTCTATGACACAAACGCATTAGTCGTTGTTTATGGCGAGCGGTAATTAACGATTTGATCATTCGTGTCTAATTGAGACAGATCTAACAGAGCCTTTCTTTCTGCACTAGGTTATTATTGCTCATTCAACAAGTCTCCGGTTTGAACTTAGCGGAGCTCCTGCTTCGACTGAAGAATTCGGGTAATGAAATATACATATAAAATAGTATTTCCTTCTATTCCATTATGAAATCACGACAAAGAGCGGTAAAACGTGAGCTACTTCGGCTTAACGTGTTATCAGATGAGAACATCAAAGTCTAAACTCAAAGAAACGCGAAGAGGTATTCCTTATTTCTTCAAAATTAAACATTATTTTGTTCAACCATACATACTATACAGAGCGTGTTTACTTTATTCATTTATTTAAAAGGTTTTTACTATTCGAATATTAAACAAATATCTTATAAGTGTTATCGTTTGAAATATGTGTAACTAATAATTGAACACGTTAGGCGAACTACTATAACAAATAGTAAATTCACCAAATCTTTAGTGAGTTTATCGTTTTTTTTAATTTTCCCATCCTGTTCTTAACTCAACTACATATTCCAAATGAATTAAATAATATAAAATATTGACTTAATACATAATATATTGACCTTGACCTAATAATATACTGATAGGTCTAGTCACTAGACAATATTCTGATTCAGTTCGATCGCCACTCAGGACAATTACTATGTGACGAGTACGATCATTTCTTGTGTGTCTGATTGTAATTGACCTATAGTATGTATGTATTTAAAAATATATAAGTATGTTTATCAGCAGTCTGGTTACCTTTTTTTTTATCGTGTGGAAACCCCCTCGGCCGTCACCCCGCCAGAGTTTGAATTCAAGCTGTGTATAGTTTAGGATCTGACAGCCGTGTATGAGATGTGTAAGGTTATTATTAGTAACTTATACAAACCTATGTAATAATTGCTATGGGGTGAAATCCTAATCGGCGTGCATAAATAGAGTTCGTCCTGAAACAAAACAAGTGCATAAGTAAAGTACTGTGGAAACTACATAATTCAGAGGGTATGTTGTTATTGAATATGTATCGGAAGTCTTGTCACAAAGATAATGCTTTATTCCTACGAGCATAAGGCTCGTAGGAATAAAGCATTATCGTTAACTCAAGTGACAAATTAATATTTATGTTCAATATATACATACGCAACGTAATCTTGCAATTGAATACACACTTCGTATAGTCACTGTGCTAAATGTATTATTATTAACAGGCCGAGAATTTTGTATTTATAATAATTACATTTTCAGTAGGAACTTTGCGTATATGGGTACGGTATTGTCCCATTGTAAACGGTGTGCAGAACAAATTCACCTATTTTTTTTTTTTTAATCTTACATATCTAACACTGAAACCAGAATGCCCAGAACACCGCAGCAGATTCTGTCCTGACTTAACAGCTCTTGACTAGGGAACCATTCGTAGAGAACCGCGCTGTTGGCGTTATCTGACGCGAGATAGTTATACAAATCATCATTCGCAAATAAATTCCAGTATTAACACTAGTTGGTATCTTCTTTCTATTTTTCGAACATCTTAATTGAACCTCTCTCCGTTTAAATGAGTGTGTAGACAATAGATTTTGAGCGATATTCTGCATCCAAAGTTTTGGTAGTTACGACTGAAGCATATCATTTATTAAATTTGATAGTTTTCTTATTGTTTATTGCCTAGAAAGCCTTGATCACTGCAACAAAACACCTCCACTTGTAGTCCTTTTGATTTAATTTTATAGTAAACCATTTATCCTTAACCAATTTTCTTATTTGTAAACCTATAAAATCCTTCTTTCAGCTTACGAAAACGAGACCTAAATGGTGCACGCAATAAACCGCGAAATGCAGAATGAATGGTTTTGTATGCCACCAGCTTTGAAATGGTGCACAATTTATGCGTCTGGTCACCTGCCATATTAATATTCTACCTCAACGCCTTTCAATTAACCCTCTACGATCAGAGCACCCTAGTAAGATGAGGAAAAGCTACAGACACGGCTTACTGCGGTGCGGAAATTAGGTGCAGCTAGGCATTCACTGACAGGCGTTATTAGACGTTATTAGGCCGGGGTCATTATTCAAATCGCCACGATAGGGAACTATAAATCATACGCGAAGCTATTAGTTTATAACTGATGAGAGCGAATAAATGAGTAACAAAAGAATAACATCGAGTTTGTAAATGAAGGCTCAATGAAAAGGACTTCACAAAAGCCGTACTTAATCCCAAATATCGCTAGTGGCTGGACATTATTAGTGGACACGTATGAAAAATATTACAGAATACCGGAGGATATCTGTGCTTCGGAGTCCAGACCAGGCACTGACTTTGACTTAAATATTGACTTGAATAATAAATCGGTTTTACCAGAGGGTCATATTTGAAATTACCTTATAATTCATCACATATGTACATACATTTATCTAGTAATACTCGTACGAAAAACTGAGACCACTCTATCAAAATTTTGTTTTATTTTTTAATTTAGCATGCAGACGAATATTCTATGATGGAATGGGTATTCTACGGTAATGGTAGCAAAATATGTCTGTCGGCTCTATCCTAACTCGTCTGATAGGTTTGCATATTTTCATTAATTGGGCGATCAGTTTTGATTCTCTGCGGCAACTTTAAATGACATTAATCCTTGATTTTATTACACATATGTAAATTTCAAAGCATCTATCCAATCTTCATTAATGTGTTTACTAGTAACAAAATATATATTTGACAATTTCTGTCATCAGCAAGTAAATTTTCATAAAAAATAACGTTTTAGATAAAGAACATTCGCTGATCACTACATTTGAGTGCTTGCTCTGCCTACGCAATATGCTAACTTATCTGTGGCTTTCGCTTTTCGTAATTAAACTGAAGTGTTTAATATATCGAATGTCAGTTATTACGTATGATAAGTCATACATGTACGAGTATAACTAGCTGTTACCCAAAAATTAGCTTTAAATATTATATATATACCTGTCTTTTTGGAACGAAATTCCTCAAGGTACGTTGCTAGGGATTTCACGATAAAAATTAACATTACGAATAAGCGTTAGTCACTATCTCTCTCGCTCTGCGTTCAGTGCCTGCAGAGCGATAGAGAAAGTGATCCGTCTACTCGTATTGCGCATTTTTTATTTAATTACTTGAGAACAACGGATCGAAAATCGAGACATGATGCGTATGATTTTTTTAGAGCATTTGACGAGGAATAAAATAAGACGTCTAGTATCCCTTCCATCAATAGTTTTTGAGTTAGTAATTTTTTCTGGTAACAGCTGTTTTTTTTTAAACAACTAGCTGTAGTTCATTAGCAAATCAAATTTTTTTGTTTATGTGTAAAAATTTATACGGTTTTTTTTTGTTTAAAAATCATCATCAATTGACCAAAATTTATAAATGAAATATTTGTCAAATAGCCCAGGGAACTTCGTTCCTATCTTGTATCCCACGACACCACGCTGCTTTTTATGCCTAAGAACTAATTGATTTCGTCCCCGGAACGATATTGAGATCAGGAGACTATTGTTACTGGTTGTACTACATACGAGTATTATTATAATTACTATGCTTAATTACAATATCTAATCAGACTTTTAATAATCATTGGAATAGTTTTACAAAAGTTCAATTCTGCAGACAAATTGCATGGATAAAATTACGTCCTACATTTTCAACACAATGCTCATGCATTCATTGGAAATATTTGGTACATCTTTTTTCATTCTCATTTTCACTTGTCTCCCTTTTTAAACTGGTCACTCGGCATCGTCAGTGTCACTATCATCATCATCAGTAGAAACTAAATTTGGGTTATCATCTGACTTGTCCTCATCAAAAGGTTGATTTTTGGTTGTATTTTGTTTTATTTTTGTTATTTTCTGTTGTTTTCCTTTTATATTTCCAGCTCTTTTCCTTTATCGTTTAATGTTTCTTTCTTTAACTGTCTTTTTAACTCACTTCTTTTGTCCAAACAGCTTTAGCGCTTTTTTTCATCACTTCAGCATCCCTTTACATCCCTTAGAACTTTTTCTTTGGGATCTAAAAATAAGTTAATAAATATGTACAAGAAAAAATTGCAGAAAATATCCTTGAGAATAAAGTGGAATGATCTGAATATCGCCCTGGGGACGATATTAGGAATTTACTGTTTGTATAAATAACGTACAATTATCAAAAACACAATAACATAACCTATTTCTTTTTATATCGATTCAAATCTATTCTGTAATAATAAGTTTTGCCAAAAAATTGTTGTAAGAAATCAAACACATCCATATTAAAACAATCCTGATAATATTTTATTCAAAAACTCACCTTGAAGATTTTTTTTCTTTTTTTATATATCTTAACACAGAAGCGATATTTGACCACCAATTTTTTGCAATAAGTAGTTGACTGACATAAATAACTTTAGATTTGCGGTATTAGAACTAGATGGCGGTATTTAGAAGAAAAGAAACCGTTGTGTAAGAGATGTAAGCTCTTTTAAATTGATTTATTTTCCAGTCAATTTAAATTATTTACGTTGTTCTAAAACATTACAAAATTTTGCAAGTCCTATATTTGTGAACCTGCTTATTGGTCTATAGTCACTTTTTCACTTTCCTATTTGTTCATACACACCAGCCGCAGTTGTTCAAAGAAGAATAATTGAACTTTTTCGATGAAAGCATGAAAACCGATTTTTGTTGAATGTTGAACGAAATCAATTGGGCTTGATTGAAACCCACCAGGCGTGTGGTATTAAAAGCTCGTGACGTGGTGGTGATCAGGCCACGAGTACAATCAGTGAATTACCAAATCCAGGTCTCGCGTGCTAACTGTGAGAGATAAGGAAAGTTCACTCTTTTTTTAATGACCATCTTTTTGGCCAAGACATACGTGTGTAGCGATTTTACAGACATTAGTTTACCCGGCCTAACATTGCGTATTTATTCTTTAATTAGGATTTTTCGAATTATTGCATTTGCAAATTTGCGCATAATTGTGTGTATCTTAAAAGCGCTTTTTATTGAAATACATTTGAGTGAGTCTTCACTTCATACTGCTATTCTATTAGTCGGTGGTGTGGCCTTCTCTCTGGGAGTATACGTTATTCAAATATTAACTCTTTACCGCCACCACATTTAGGGTGGAGCCTTCTATATTTAGACAATCCCTTTTTCTTGAGAGATAAATGCGTAATTCCTAAAATACTCACATGCTGTTACGTAACGTGTTTTCGCAATGGTTAATTTATATGCGTTATCTACTGTATCCCACTTAAATGGAAATGAAATGAACATTAAATTACATTCTGGCACCTATTTATACAAAAAAAAATTGTTGGTTTACATATGCTTAAAAAATTAAAAAGTTCTGCACCCGTTTTGTCTTAAATTTTGACACCATATACAACATACTTCAAAGATGGATTTTTTTGCAACCACAATGTGCCAAAGTGTAGCGTGGCAGGGTACCGCTAGTATTTTACACAATTTTACTAATTTTGTAGTTCTTTACCAAAACAAATCAAATTAAATAAAAAGCCATTCATTGGTAGATATTACACTTATTCAATATGCATTTAAATTTAATTATGTATCATTATAAAAATGATAAATTATTCTACAAATTGTATGACAAAATTACTTTATGATTTATACAACAAAGGTATTATTATAAAATAGTCAATTCTCATTATTATGCCATTCAAAAGGTTTGTACTTGGTGATAAAAATTTTAACTGTCCACTTTTGTCATTGTAATACAAATGATTGTGATATCATCACTGATAATCACACTGAAAGCAGAAGTTCAGGGTAATTTCTTTTTATAATTACATATGGCTTTACATTATATTTAATAACTAGCAATTCACCCGACCCCGGCTTCCCATGGGTGCAATGTAGATACTACTAATGTGGTGTCAGTGCAGAGTAATTAATTAAGTATACTAATATTATGAAAGGACTATTAATATTACTTTTAATAGGCATCTTTCGATCGCAGGAAAGACATACGGCTCGACGGTTGTTTAAACCTCTAATATCTTCTATAATATTATTTTAATGATATGCTGTGAATAGCAATTTTATTATACATTAAATGCACACATTAAATTATCTAATAATAATTAATTTTTTTATTATTTTTTGTCATTTTTCATTTTTTTGTAATATGTAAAAGATGAAAATGTTTACAGTGAGTTATTCTTAGGAGATAGACATATACCATGGCAGACTTTTTTTGAAGATCTTTTTGGTTTAAACAATTTCGTAGTACCAGCGTTTGCAATGTAAGAGCTCAATTTTTTTTTAAGTGCAGGTTATTTAATATACATATATATTTTATACTTATAAACCTTCCTTGTGAATCACTCTCTCTATTGGTGCAAAACCGCATTACAATACATTGCTTAGTTTAAAAGATCTAAGGGACCAAAACAAAAAAGTGACTTCATTTCATATTATGTAAAGATAGAACGCAGAAGTCACTATAGCAAAATAATGCTTGCTTGAATGTTGTGAAAGTCAGTTGAGAACTAGTATTTTGAATATCTTTTAAACATTTCTTATGTCATTTAACAGAAAATTTTGAAATGCAGGTTATTTAAAATATGCAATAGTAACTGCAACATATGCCAAGTTATACAAAACTTGGTAATGATAAAAAAAAGTATACATGTACCACACACCTTACATGGGTAAAGTAAGTATAAATTTGAGCCTTTATAAAGAAATATAATTAATATAAGATCATTCTTATGTTAAAGTTTAAAAAAATTATTTAAATTAATTTATATGAATTTTAAACTTTCATATAAAATTAAGTACACAACTTCAACACGCTTCAAAAGAAAATTAACAAAATATCTATTGAGATAGTTTAAAGATTTCCGAAATAGCTAATAAATTACCAATTTAAATGTTTTAATTAGTTTTTTACTCACCCTGTGTGGCCAAACATTTGGCATCAGGAAATCGTACGTATCTACTTCTTGTCCAGTAGCAAATAAAACGCAACTTAGCGAAACGAAAAACGTAAATAAGAATTTATCCATCATTCAAATTTAGAACAAAAATTCAAAATAAAATAACTTCTAGATACCGCTGTAGCGTGTTTACGGTATTTCACTTAATTTAATTGTGTCAAAAGTATGTTAGTCTCGATATTTTTATTTTAATATATTATCGCGACACTTCAATATTGATGCGTGTTTGATCTCAGAAGCGACAAGTGTTTGTATAAATAATTTTGCAAATGAAATCGATCAATACTATGACTGAAGCAAGTTTACTAACGTCACTACTGTGTTGCCAGTTCCACATATCTTTTCTTGTGATTCTTATGAATGAAATTACTGTGTCTGAAAAGGAAACAAATAATGCATATATCTGTCATTCTTATTAATAAATGTACTGTTTTAAAAAGAGAAAAGGTAAGGTTTTTATTCAGAACTAAAATACATTTAGTATAAATTTGAATTAAACATAAGTTTTTGTCACTCTTTCAGAGATTTACTTTCACGCCATCTATTGATATTTTTTAATGAGTTGAAAGCCTAACTGTTTTAGTCGTTCACAAGTATTGTACGAGATGTCACTATTAAGACAATTTAGATATGCATTTTATTCCTTTTTATTTCCACTTAATTTTTATTAATTTGTCTTATTCCATCTTCCCTTTAAAGTCACTTAGAAAAAAATAAAACAATATTTTAGAAGTTACATAAAAAAAACGAAGTGTTTATTTAGATTATATTATTATTATAGTGTTACTTAATAATTTGTTTGTTTAATTTATCCTAATGGATAACTGTTCATTTATTGTAAACCTCCTTTCTAAGGAGAGGCCTATGTCCAGCAGTGGACTAGTATAGGCTGTTGATGATGATGATGATATTGTAATGGCCTTCCGCATCCCACACACCTTTTATGGTTAGTTTTATGGTTACGTAACTGGCTATGAGAGAAAGAGAGAAAGAAAATGTACGCTCGCACCTGTCTCTCTTGCCCCTACAGTAATATACGAAACGTAACTCTTACTCTTTCTATCCCGTTCGTCTCGCCCGATAACACTTTTCGTAACGCTCTCGTCACGTATGCAAGCGTGCGTAAAGAAGTTTTTCTTCAAAACAAAAAAGTGAGACCATCTATAATGTAACTTACCTCTAGACATAATATAATGGAAGTATCTTGTACTGATAATAAAGTTAAATATTCTGTCTCTAAACCACTCACGATGTCCCCCTCTTTTAAAGATACTATTCCGTTTACTAGTATAAATTGGCTACGGCAAATGCGACTTCCCCCGTCAGCGGGTACCTAACTGCAATACGATTTTTCACAATAAGTCCAATTTTCTTGCTGGTAGACGTAGACGTGGTGATAAATGTTATTAGGGCTCGTCTAATCGGAATGGTGGTGTGGTGACAACAATATTATATAATAGTCCTCTTGATAGTAAACAGTAAGTCTATGGACCAAGATTTAAAAAAAAAGATTTAAAAACACTGTGGTGTTACAGTATTCCATAAATTATAATTTATGGAATACTGTAACACCACAGTGTTATATGTATGTAATAGTCATAAATTTCACTTACTTGTTTTTTGAACGCCTGCAACTCAGGAGTCATTGCCAGCCTTTGAGGAAGTAGTACGCTCGTTTATCTGTAGGTAGGTATTTAGTAATACAATGTAGACAGATCTTCTTTGTATTATGTGTAACTATCACTACTTCATATATTTGTACTATTTTGTTTTCCCTTTCTAATCAAATTTTTAACTCAATCTAAACTAAACTAAACTATCCTACACCTTTTCAGTGTAACGTTTTCTCTCCATCTTCCCACTTATGTAGTATTAAGTTATTTATTACATGGATCTGGTATACAATGAAGAGATTTTATTATTATTATGGCCAATATAAATATTATGAAATTAAAGCAGTAACTACTAATAAAATACTTTTATTAGTAGATAATGTATCTAGATACCAATAGAGTACTAAACCTCAATTAACCGGGATACTGGCGATGGACATAAATCAAGGCGAATGTCTAACAAATGCCTGATACATCGCCGATACACGGGCGCGTGATTTGTGTAGCAACCGATTTGACTCAATGATCGGAGGTGCAGAAGCGACAGTTCTTTCAAACGCTTTACTTTTTAGTAATATACAATTTTATTGTTAAGCACACACTCTTTAGTAATAGACAAATATCTTTATGTATATACATATATAGATTATTTAAAACATAAGAAATATTTCAATTCAAGGCAAAGCAAGAGCGTCGATAGAATGGTTGAATTTAAAATAAAAACTTCTGAATACCTATTTTTCTTATGGCATAGGGGGGCAAACGAGTACCAGGGATTGCCTTTCTAAGGTACACCTGGTTCCCCGGCAACTGGTACCAGATATAGCCGAGTTTTGGTCGGTTCGAGCCCGACATAACAACCTCACCAGTGGACGGTAGCCGAGGGGATTCCCGCACAGAAAAAAAATGGGCGCAAACGAGCAGATGGGTCACCTGATACTAAGTGAGTACCGCCGCCCATGAACACCTACAACTCAAGAGTCACAGGTGCTTTGTATCACTCAGAGTCAAACATGGGGTGAGGGGTTTGAGCTCTGGTAACTTCATTCACTTCGTGAAATGTAGCGAAAGAAATTGTTTAACACTCGTTTTCTGTGGGGCCTGGACTTCAACTCGATCGTGACGATGACCGCGTTCGGCGTTACGATTGACCCGCACTGAAATCTCTACCAATCGCAACGCTAAACGCGCTCGCCGTCGAGGGCAAGTCGATGTGAAATAAACTTGCTCTCGGCCCTCTGGTCGTGTCGAAGATTGGCTCTCCCAGGCCACGGTAATACAACAGTATTAAGTATTTTATAAATCAGCTAGGTATTTATCAAAATCTATTACGTTTTTTTAATCTGTTACTAAGTGAAATTGATTGTTGTTGAATATTTTAGATGGAACTGAGAAAATATTCTTATCCAACTTGGCTGATCTTCACTTTAAAAAAATGTATCTAATGTTTAATACACAATACAGCTTAACAGACACAAATACTCGTATAGGTTTTTAAATAGTATAAAAAAGTTTTTGTTTCAAAATGAAACTTCATACAGAATTTATTTTTCTGTCAATTTAGGTGCACTTTTTGTACCTACATACTTTATATATCTTTTTTATGTTGTAGGAAGCGAACGAACGAACGAACAAAAATATTACCAGGTGGAAAGTGACAACCTTCGCTTTGCAAATATTCAAATCTCTGTGCAAATCGTCCATAGTTTTCTTTTAAATATAACATTTTATACTCTTTGAACTATACGGACTATTCCCAAAATGTTCCGTCGTAAAATAATATCATTCTATATTTCATCCTTATCTTAGCAACGTAGTAGGAATTGATTCTGACAAAATTTCCCAAAGGGCAATCATCCGCTATCTACCGATCTATAAAGGCGTGTTGGCCTTTTTAATGTTAGTTAGTCTTCAGATATACCTAATTGTTTAATTGATTTATTTATTTATTTTTTATTTTTTTTTATTTTTAAAAGACAACTCCCGCATTAGGAATAAATCCTGTGTCGCGGGGGACTTTTACAAACATACATGAAACGGACACAAAGAACACCCAGACTCAGAACAACAATTTGTGGATCACACAAAGTGTCGTCCCATGTGGGGTTGGAACCCACAACACTCGGCGTAGTAGGAAGCGGCGTGGCGACCGCTTAAACCACTACGCCATCCGTGCAGTCGTTATTATCTTGTTTATATAGGTAAGATTTTGTTTAGTGTTAATAACATTTTGTGATAATGCTTTCTAGTAGTCTCTTCAGTCATATAAAGCAAACGCGAGTGTGCAACACCGCCCTGTTTGGGCTTCTGCAATCTCAGTCCTATTACCTCATCCAAGATTTGCTGTGTCGGAATATCGTAATATTCCTTTGTCTAATACCAATTTGCGTTGCTCATTTATGACTTTATATTATTTGACTGAGTGTTTTTCGGTTATCGCAGTAAAAAGTAGTCTATGTTACTCACTGATAATGTAACTCTCCATTGATGGAAGAATTTTTAAAATTGGTTTAGGGGTTAGTCGTTAAAACGTAACAAATCAACAAACTCACTAGCATATTTTATAACAAGTATGGATTCCCAAGGAAAATTGTCAGGCGACTACCCACAAAAGAAAATAGCAAAAAGTCATATATTGCACAGTCACCAAAATTAAAATAGGGAAATGGGCAAATGGTGCATATAGAGTAGGTACCTATCTCTGATCTAGAACTGTCTAGATTACTTTGCCCTAGGCAATTTAACTTTGAAAAGAAAAATGTTGAGGCTTTAGTGAATTTGACTTTTACATTAGAATGTAATCGCTAACACAATGACATATTTTGTGTCCTTTAAAATACTACTAACATTATTAGGTACTAAAATACCAAAGTTTCGAATACTACAGGGGATTGGCTGTTTATATATCTACGCATCATCAAAATCACTTATTGATAACAAGTAAAGCAGATACATTAAACTTTTGACGCAATTTTCAGAAAATAGACGATGTTTTTTAGTTTTGCGTCGTAGACCGTAGTTTACCACTACCACGCATCACGTACGCCTCAAACTAAAAACGTGCTGGTGCCATGTATCAAATAAATTGATAGGCCATTTTGTTTCCAAATTGTACCACAAATATCTTTGAACTAAGATGTTTATACATTGTTTTTGTTTTAGCACATTTCTGATCTGCTGAGGGAATATTTATTTTTTTAATACTTAAATTTTTGTGCGTCATTGTTCTTCTGTAAAACTGTAATTCAGTGTTAATAGTTGTCCTAAAATATATATTTTTGAACTGTTTCTCACTGACAATACAATATTATATATAATATAAAACATTAATATTTGTTCATAGTATGCATAACTTAATTGTTTATTTATGAAAGGTTATCAAAGACCCAAAAAATAGATTTCATCAGCATTGTATTACTGTTCTTTTCCCAAGTGCATTTGAGATCGGTCAAATGT